CCAATACTTTGTAGGATTAGTTGTCTTAACCTGAAAATAGAATCATATTTAATCAAAATACTAAGTACATATGAATGACAATATATTCATATAGATAACTCAATCAGCAACAAACTAAGCCTTGTCCACAATAAATTTGGGATTGGCTATATATAGATAACCCAATCAATGTATTTACCTTAAAAGCAACATGTTTTTGGGTCTTATTTGACAACCGAATTGAACAAGATGCTTGCTTATTCAGCTCAACTTCAAACCCAAAAAAAATAAAAAAAATTAAGTGACAACCAAACAGTAATTGATCAAACCCCGAAACCAAATCAGAAGAAATTGAAAATTTACATTGGAAAGTAAGCACTGGAGGCTCAATCTTAAGAAGTTCTTCCGTGCGCATTCTTTTTCGAAAATCGATTAACAATTTAACAATAAAATCTGTTTTCTGTGTTAAAGAATAAACGAAGGAGTAAGGGAGAAGGATTTGAAGATTGAGCAAGCATTGAAACGGAGGAAGGAGCAGAAGAAATTTACCTAACGATATTTTTAAATCTGCAACCTCATCATTAGACTTTTCTGGGTGTATATTATTAAATAAACCAAACATTGTGTAGAACAGAGAGATGAATGAAACTAAGGAAGTTTCTCAACTGTCTGACCATGAACGACCATGAACTCGCGCGAATTCTCGTTTCGTTTTGGCTCCTACACTTCACTGTCGATTATTTTGAGAATAATTTTGTGAAAAATATTTTTTTTAGACAATGTGTAACAAAAAACATGAAAAAGTTAAGAATTTAGGTATAAAATTATTTTATCAAATTGGAGGTGTGATTAAATTATGAATTTGAGAAAAGATTAGTTGAATTAATTATAAATGTGTTTAAATTATTTTATGCAAGAGTTCACAATTTATAATTTGTTTGGAAGCATAAATAATTTGATCAACCATTTCAGAATTGATCGTTTTTGGTCGAGTTCAAAAATTTTTGATTGTTTGTGTAAAGTCATTGCTTCTATTTTCACAATTCTTAATATAAATTAATTCGATTCATAAAATATCTAAACTGGATCACTCGGTATCAAACCTCAAGTCTAGATATAAATATTCTGATAAATCGAATTTTTTTTTTTTTCTAGCTTATTTGATTATTCGACATTTTTTGTTTCAAAATAGTGGCTGAATATCTGTATTTTAAGTCACAAGAGCCATCCATTGCTATCAATGAAATCATCAAAAATTTGTGTATTCTTTTGTATTTGAATAAAATTAGAAGTTGAGTCAATAGTTGGAATAAAGATAGTTTTGTGTCCAAAGTGATACTATTCTATAAAGTTGGGGACTAATATGGGAATAAGATACATTTACGAAAGGAACCGACCGTGACAATCCCAAGCTGGCACACTCCACGACTCGTGCTGTCTTCTTCCGTGAACCCACATTCTCCTCCTCCAACCGTCGCGCTGTTACACTTTCAAGAGCCTTATTGTCAATCGGTTGAACCGCAGAACCACCACGCCAGCCTCCGCTAGAACCATGAGCTGTTTTTCCTCCTCCGGATCGACTCAGCGAATGTTCCAGCTAAAATTTGACCTGCTCACCGGCAACTCGGAATGGTTAGTCATAGAAGAAAACGAAACTGCAGAAGTCGGAAACCGGAAACCCCTCATCGGTACTAAGTCGTATCTAGACATGCTAAATGACACCCCGCGAAACAAAACCTTCCGTCAAGCAATTGAGAAGACCACTAAACCTTGCCACGTTCTTGATATTGGGTACTTCAGATAATTCTTTTATCTAAACACGAATCTCATTCAATTGGGTTGTTATTGAAGCTATTGGCAGAATGTGAGATGATGCGACTGTCTTTTTTTTTTTTTTCTTTTTTGCCCATTTTTGATTAACAACGTGCTGTTCACTGGAAAAAAAAACTTCCTGACTAAATAAAAATAAGTTAAGAATGAATTATTACAGTTAGCAGAGAGTCTTGGTTCAACTAAAATAAATAAATGAAGTATCCTGGCTCCTTTTGGGAAACACAAACAGAGAGTATATAGATTTCAAAATTAATGCTTTAATTAAGTAATCTTATTGTTTGAATGTCAATTTCCAATTTCTTAAGGTTAAGCTATGTTTGTTTATAAGCGAAATAGTTGGAACCCGAGAATTCATCTTTGCGAGTATGATGAAGTAATCCAAAGATAAAGGCTATTTGATTATTTCGATTAACATATTCTTTGATTGTGAGCATAAAATAAGTTTTAAAAAAATTGGAATTTACGTTCTGTGAGCTGGGAGTGGATATTAAAACATAAAGGCTGCGATTTTAGCTAAATGCTTCAATGCAGTTCTGACATAATATGTGTTACTCTGCGTTAAGTAGCCAAATATACCATAATTACTATTTTATGCTTTAGTTGTTGGTAAACATACAAGTGCGTTTGTTATTGTACAGTATAGGAACTGGCTTGTCATCCATGATGGCCGCTCGGGCAATGAGATTTGGTGATTCAGAGGAGAGCTCTGGTGCAAGTCGTACCTTCCCACAGTGAAATTGGCGCGAAAAGTTTTCTGAGCCAATGGCATGGAAAGGAAGATATGCATCATTAATGAGAGGTCGGATGAACTGGAAATTGGCTTGGATATCCCTTCGCATGCAGATGTCCTTGTAAGTACCAATATTTTATGTTGCACTGAACTTGAGCTATTGAGTATTCATTTGTTGGTTTTCCCTTCCAGAGGAAATCGGTGTAGCTATTGAATGACCATGAGCATATTGTGTTTATGAGTAAAAATGAATATGATTGTTAGTAATTTGTGCAGGGATACTCAACTGTAAGTAGAAGAAATAATGCTTCCTCATTATATTCATTTAAATGCTTGTACTTCTGACATATTCATCTATACTGCCTATAAAGTGGTGTGAAATGAAGACAAATGGATTCAATTTCTTCAATTATCTGATTCTGTAGATTCACAAAATTTCATGCTCATTTACGGCCTTTAACCTTCAACATACAAGAAGAAGATACTCTTTTATTTTTTTCCCTTAGGAGGAAAAAGATATTTTAGAATTGTTTTCCCCTTCCCTGAACACTTGGGCCTTTTATTTTACATATTTAATGCCATTTTTGCTGCTCTATGTGAATGGAATGGATGTCATTCCTCATTGTATTTGTTTTCGGTTTCTCTGGTCTTACTTTTGTGTCTGCGATTCATTTCGCGTGCAGGTGCAGTGTGTAATTTTGCTGAAATTAGAACTTGTGAAGTGGAATTCGTGTGTTTAGCAAAATAATATTATTTTCACATAAGCAATAGCTATTTATTATTAAATTTCAGGTTAGCGAGATCTCAGCAGAGTTGTTGGGAGAAGGGCTCATTCCAACTTTACAGCATGCTGATGACGAGTTACTGGTGGAAAATCCTCAAACGGTACCTTACCGAGCGACCTATAGCCAGGTGACTTACAAGAGCTATCATGTTATGTAACAATATTTGTTCATGCAAACCATGGACGGTTGACCATCTTCCATCTCTTCAACCATTTCTATATCCTGCATTGTCTTTATTTTTGAGGAATAACTATAGTCCTGGTAATTCAATTCAATAATTTGTAATTCTATTTCTGGAAGTTGTTGTTCTGACCCTTGGCTTGTGGTCCGTGATCCATGATACTTGGTTGTGTCGTGACAATCATGCACTGGTTGTTTATCTACGGATGATGTTAAAATTCAAATACCGAGATTTGAGGCTTCACCAAGGCTAGAGTTGTAAAACTGATTAGAAAATATGAATTCTGCATCAATTTATTCGGCTACATACTTTAAGGCATTTAAGGGGTTTCAGGTTCCTAGATAGTGAAAACTATTTCCTACTATTTTGACTTGACCAATTGACTATTCTGACTTCTTTTTCAATGCCTTTTCAGTGGGTAGAATGCACTTATGAGAGATGCATGATTTAGTTAATAGAGAGGCAAAATCATCAGATGGCTTCGTCTTGCTCTGAGTGGCATCCGACAAAAATAATTTGCCTTGCATTGTGACGCAATTAAAGAAGAAATCAAACTAGTACTGATGACATGAATATTAAGAAAATCTCGTTTGCATGTTAAAGCATTTCATATTTTACTCAATTTATTATTTCATTATGCTGTCAGTACCCTTCAAAATTTTTGATTTTGACTTTTGGAAACGGCCAGACAGTTTTAGGGAAACTGATCTGCACATAAAGGTTACTAATTGTTGGAAATATGTAATAAAATCTGGTAAAAACTAATGAACTCGAAAGCACGAAAAACGTTATCTTTTAAGAGACGTTTCTACCCTTTCCAACAAAGTCACGACCGGGGTATGATAGAAAATCTCTCTCAGGATACAATGGAGGCATTTGATTCAAATTGTGACTATTTGATCGAACCAAAAAAA